CGTCTTCAACAGTAGACAAAACCCATTCCATATATAAAGCTTTAAAATGTTCGGGTATATAAAATGTGAAACAATCTAAAGAGGGAAACCATCAACCTTATCTTTACTTTAACAATACAAAAACGAAACTAGCAGAGAGCAGCCAACAACAAAAATGTGAAACAATCTAAAGAGGGAAACCATCAACCTTATCTTTACTTTAACAATACAAAAACGAAACTAGCAGAGAGCAGCCAACAACAAAAATGTGAAACAATCTAAAGAGGGGAACCATCAACCTTATCTTTACTTTAACAATACAAAAACGAAACTAGCAGAGAGCAGCCAACAACAACCACTGGATTACAAAATCATAGCTTTTGACAAACATATAAAGAATGTGAAGGGGTTAGACATGATTGTGTTCACTAAACCCCCTCTCATCCTTAAAAATAGATTTAAACAATTATCTCGATACTTATAATTACACGAAATGTGAGATAGATTGCATTCGAGATAATAGTTTGTATTCAATTTTTTATAAGCAAAGTAGTCGTCATTTTTTCCAAGCTTTTATTCATATACCCAGAATGGATGCATATAATACCGGATAAATGTTGTGTGAATTATTTATTTTAACCGACATTTCCCGCTTAAATTTTATTTGTGTTGGAATGTTTGTAAGTTACTATCTTTAACTATTTATTTTGTTTGGTAATAAAAATGAAAAAAATAAATACCATTTAGCCGATATGAAATAGCGTCATGTAATAAGTGTAAGAATGCAAAGTATGTTCTTCAAATATGCTTTAAATATTGTTTTATGGAAAACTATTGTTATTAAATTAAAGTACGATATCTGTTAGGGATTTTACAGCACTAAGATATATGCCAAATGGCTTCTCTAGAATTTGTTTACCGTACCCAGAAATTTTGCAGGACATATACAACTATTTGATCAGAATAAATAAAAAAAACTTTCTCGTTCTTTATAATTTTCTTTAAAGAATGTGATTTCACGAAACCCTAATCATAATGCTATCTGGAATGGAAATATGTAAATGACATAAAAACAATGGCAGAGTCATTACCTTTTGTTTCTATGTCATATTCCCCTGATGTATAGCTGTGCCCATTTGAGTCTATTTTGGCTAGTAATACCGTTATGTTCACGCACCTTTCTGACTCAGGTTTGATTCTGTTGAGAATCACAAAAAAAGCTAAATGTCACTAGTTTTAGCTTTCTAAAATCCTTTGAATTGCTTCGCTGTATCATACTTTTACGTGGTTGTTCAAGTATGGGAAAGGAGTTATTATTCTCTTTTGTGCATTTACTCATAAGTGTGGTATTTTAAGCCCGTCTTATCATTTTTGACGCAATATTTATTAGCATTTGGATATCCTATTACATATTTTCCTACACCGTCATTTTACTAACTTGTTAGCAGATGCCTCGTAAAAGTTCCAGATCATTCTCAAAACAATTTTAATGTACAATTTGGTGTAACTGTGGTTTTGGTATATCATTTAGGTTTATAACATGGAATACATGTATTCTGACAAAATTCTGGAAGATAATTGGCAGTAATATGTACTTTTGTCTCCCGCGTAACGCGTTGTGGGGACATAGAAATACCGGGCGTCCTTCCGTCCGTCCGGTCTTGTTAGCGCTCTCACATGTACAATTGTTGCCAGATTTTTATGAACTTATATCATAGGTTTATATTAGCAATGTCGTGGACGAGTTCGAAAATAAGTGCGGATCAATCATTTCTAATAGAGTTATGCCCCTTTGGAAACATTAATTGTATGGAAAATTGAATTGTTAGCGCTCTCATGTGTACAATTCTTGCCAGATTTTTATATAATTTATTATATAGGTTTGTATTATGAATGTCTCGGACAAGTTCGAAAATCATTGCCGATCAATTATTTTTAAAAGAGTAATGCCCTTGGAAATATTAATTATATGGAAATTTGCCTTGTGAGCACTCTAATGTGTACAGTTCTTCCCAGATTTCTATGAAATTTATATCATAGGTTTACATCATCAATGTCATTGACGAGTTTTTTAAGTCATTGTCGATCAATTATTTTTAAAAGAATTATGCCCCTTGGAAATATTGATATATGGAAAGTTGCACTGTTAGCGCTCTCATGTGTACAATTCTTGGCAGATTTTAATTATGAAATTTGTTTTATAGATTTATATCATCAATGTCTAGGACAAATTCGAAAATCCATGCTGATCAATTATTTTTAAAAGAGTTTGGCCCTTTGAAATATTGATTATATGGAAAATTGCGTTTTTAGCGCTCTGTTGCTTGCAGTTCTTGAAAATATTAATTATTATGGAAATCACATTGCATTTGCTCGGAAGCCTTTATTTCTCTACGATATTTATAAAAAGTTTTAAAGAAGTAATTGCCCTTGTACTTTGGATAGATAAAATATGTGCAACGTGAGGGACATTGGAATTCTGTTCTATTATTAGTGTTGGTGTACATGCATATACAGTCAGAGGAAAACTCAGAAACTTGTCCGTCTTAGTCCCTCCTTTTATTTATTAACAATGAGTTGCCGCGACATTATAAAGCAAGGTAATCCAGGAAAGGCAAAATTGTTCATTGCTCGTGTACTGGATCGGATCTTGAATACTGATACTGTAATCATGTCCGTATTTAATAACTCTTCTGTCTGGGACATGTTCCCAATTCTATATTTCATTCTACCCGATAGAATCTTTCCCACATCATGAGGCAACCAATGAGAACCGATATCTGTTATGTAATAATTTGAAGATGGCGTGAATATCGTATGCTACTAATAGCTTCGCAACATGATGCGAAGTAAAAAAGACCCATAGAAAAACTACTACTTGAAAGTTGGCTCAATTTGTTTTCGTAGTCTCCCGTCTCCTTTTTATCAGTGCAATCACATGTTAATCATCCGCCCTGAAACTACATCTTCTCTTATTCTACAAAGTACCAAATCAGTCTTAAATAAATGTGCCACAACAAATAGAATGAAAACCCCCCTCCACAAAAGATAGTCTCATTTCTCTCTGATTTAATTAAATTAATTTGTTTGGCGATTCATTAATCTTTTCCTTCATTTGTATAGGGATGGTAAGTATTGAACATTGTTTGAAGTGTTGATACATAAATACATTTCTTCGATTTTTTAACACCTGCGTTTGAAAGTTGCATACATAGTGGCAATGACAAATTGAAGTTTCCAATACAGCTTAATAGTTGTCGCCTTGTTATGTTTGCTTATCAGAGCCAAATGTTAAAATATGCAGATTTTTCCTCTTTTGAACGATTTGGGCAAATAATTGCCACATGAACGAATCTTTATTTTGAAGGGTACATTTTCATATCCGTTTTCGAGTTGATTAGAATATCAGCATAGTTATGACACACTTTGCACAGAAGTATAATTTCGATCGGAAACCAATCATGGTTGACATGCATACTGTTTTGAAAATCCTTCATACTACTTAGTTATACATGTGTCATTCCCTTGAGACAAAGTGATATTTTTACAAGAGGCAGTGGTCTTGATATTTATTGTGTATGTAGTTTTGAAGAGTGGCCATTGCTCTTATTGGTTGTTGATTTAAATGACACATACATTGATTTTTTGAAGTTTAGTTTTTTTAATTGTTTCATATTTTCTACCATTAACCTACACAGTAACCACAGCATCTCGATAAAATTATTTTTTTAGCTCATGAGCCTCTATGGCTAAGTGAGCTTTTCTCATCACTTGGCGTCAGTTGTCCATTACCGTTCGTTATCTTTTTTAAAAAGCCCTCTCCTCTGAAGCTACAAGGCTTACTTTAACAAAATTTGGCCACAATCAGCATTTAAGTTTATAGTTTTAAAAATGTGTCGAATGACGCCACCTGTCAACCAACACGGCTATCATGACTGAAAAAGAACATAAGAGTAAAACAAGTTTTGTCTATTATCTTCAAAATCGTTATAATTAGAGAAAATCTTGCAGGGCATAAACGTTCAGAATATTGCGATCTACTTACTGTTCATTTACATCAAAACTGTCGGACGACATTTTATAGGAGTTTTCCCCTTAAGTTGATATGGAAGTTTAAAAGAAATAATAAAGTTATTTTTCAAAGTTTGCCAAAATGCAGCAAATATTGTGATATTTTCAAAATTAAAATAAAAACGATAAGTCACCGAGCTTCTTTTTAAGCTACAGATTGTGGAAATGATCCACTCTGTATGGATAATACCAAGAGTCCATAATTAGGATATTGAACTGATTATACAGAGAAAAGGCATCAGTATGCGAACAGAAGGTTAAGTAAAAAAGATAGCCCTTATAAGATGCTTTCCGAATATCAAAATAAAAAATGGGTTAATTGTATGTTTTTTTTCTGCTATAACATGAAATAAAAACTGTGTTTGTAGATTCTTTTAAGAAATATACATTTTTAAAGTGCTTTCCCTTAGTACATTATATTTCGGTCTACAATTTGTAGAGTGTCTATTGTTCAAGATGTATGAGCGACATAGACTCTAGTTCTGTAACGTTAGTGTTCATATAATGTTAAAAGCATTCAAAACACTAAGGGATTTCTATCGCACGAACAAATGGCTTCACCAAAACTTGACACTATTTTCTTTCAATCCTCTTCAAATTGTAATTGATTTGGCCTTCCAACTGTTTGACTCAAGCGCCACTGATGATTGTATTGAGACGAAACGTGCGTCTGATGTACTAGAAGATTAGCCTGGTATAATTGATGAACTTGTATCTAAAAGATTATGTCATTGTGGTTGTTTTATTTTGTTGATGTGTCGTTGAATTTAAGGTAGCTTCTCTCAACTTGAATCCAGTGAACTTAATTTCCTACCTGTTCTGTCTATATAAATACAGAAGATAAGTGGACAACGACACATGTGTAGAAAAAAACATCTTTTGTAATTAAAATAAGATTTTGAATACCAAATTTTTTAGATTGTATAAATTATTTTATTACCTATTTTTAGATACTTTTAAAGAATGGCGAAGAAGCTTAAGCAAGTGACATCTTCAAACAACTTTTATAGACCGTGAAGAATTCAGTCCATACACATACATATTTATATTTCTTAAACACTGTACTGAGATATAAAAGATATTTATCAAGAATGTTTATGATGACTGGAAATCAAATTATGAAAATGTTACAAATCATTTACTTGAATAACGTTGAATTCAGAGGTAAGAATTTTCATACCACCGCAAATTTTTGGCGGTCGCATAATGTTATGATGTTGTCAGTGTCGGCGTCGTATTTTATTTTATTTTCAGACAATAACTTGAGAATAAGTGTATAGACCTCTATGAAATCATACCGAAAGGTTCCATACCACAAAAGCAAAGATAGGATTAATTTTTGGGGTTATTGTCTTAACTGTTTAGGAATTAGGGGTCAAAAAGGGGCCAGAAACTAGTTTTTTTCTTGTTTCAGGACAATAATGTATTAGTGAATGGATCACTATGAAATTGTACTACAAGGTTTCATACCTAAAATGAAAGGTTAGGATTGATTTGGGGGGTTATGGCCTAAACCGTTTAGGAATTAAGGTATAAAAAAGAACCAAAAAAACTAGCATTTCTGGTTTCCGAACAATAACTTAAGTATAAGTCTATGGAATACTATGTAATTCTACCACAAGGTTCCATTCCAAAAAGGAAGGTTGGGATTGATTTGGGGGGGTGGGGGGGGGGGGGGGGGGGGGGGTGGGGGCATGGTCAAACCGTTTAGGAAAAGGCGCCAAAAACAAAACATTGCTTATTTCTTGACCAATTTCAATGTAGTTTAATTCAAAGTCTAGAATTCTTAGGGTTCCTTTATATGCTTAATGTAACTGTGTATTCAGATTTTGGATTTTGGGCCCCGTTTTTGAATTTGTCAACATTGAGATCCAAAGAGTCCAACGTTAAACTTTGCTTGATTTCATCAAACATAAACTATTTGGGTTCTTGATAATGCCGAATCGGACCTTGTATTTATATATTTGATTTTGGACCTGGTTTCAAATTGGTCCACATTAAGGTTTAAATGGTCCAAAATTAAACTTATTTTGATTTTAACAAAACTTTTATTCAAGAGATTTTTCGATATACTGAATCTAAATATGTATTTAGATTTTTAATTGTTGGTCAAGTTTTTAAGTTGGTCCAAATCGGATCCAAAATTAAACTTAGTTTGATTTCAACAAACAATGAATTTATAGGGTTTCCTTGGAATGCTGAATTTATCGTGTTCTTAGATTTTGGATTTAGGCCCCGTTATCAATTGGTCCACATTGAGGTTCAAAGGGTCCGAAATAAAACTTTGTTTGATTTCATAAAAGAATGAATTCTTTTGGGTTCTTGGATATGCTGAATCTAGTTAGTCACAATCTAAATTCAGAGCTGTACCCAGCTTGAATGTAGTGTCCATACTTGCCCCAACTGTTCAGGGTTCAACATTTGCGGTTGTATCAAGCTGCTCACAGCGGAACATTTTATTATGATTGTCCCGGAAAATTCACACTTATCACACATATATTCTATATGCAATACATATATATGGAATTTTATCATATCCAGACCATGAAAGGATAACTGCAAAACTTCCGCGCGATGCTTTTTATGCTTATTTCACTACACGCGAATATTTTGTATAATTTGGCAATATTTGTTCGAAGAGGGCGCTATTCATTTAATGCAAAAACTTGAAGAGCAGGGGCATTAAAGCCACGTTTTGGCCCAAGAAAATAACGTTTTTGAGAACAATTTTAAATTTGCGCATTATGTTTGGAAATGTATAAAATCAAGAAATATAAATGAATGACAAAAGATTTTTGATGTTATAACGTCACAATTACGTCATAATACCACCATTTTTATGAAAATAGAGCAACCTGCGAATTTTATGCAGTTTTTCGTAAATATTTCTTCTGCGGAAACATCGTGCGCAGACAAGAACCAACAAAACAATTTAAGAGAAGCTTTATTATAACCATTGCCATATTCTAACCAAATATAAAGTTGTTTCTTGGGTGCGCACATACTTTTCCAATCTAATTTATACAAATTTAAAGTTGACGTAAAACAAGGAAAATCACGAAATTTTACAAAATATACACATTTTGTCATACTTTGTTGCCATGGTAACTTGTAAAATGTGAAACTGGTTTTATTTTCTGAATACCTTGTACCTAAGTGTAGTTTGGACAAAGTTCAGAATATGAAACGTTACTTTTTAATTTGCACTAATATTTGGACTCAATAAGGACCTTATTGCCCCTACTCCTTTGTAATGTAATATGCAAAAATGACCATGTTTACAGTACATTGTTTAAAGAATACTTCAATTGTTTTTATCAGCGCTTCAACGTTTGTAATAGGTTTTAGATTTTGAAATATTTTGGCATCGAGTATTACTGAATAGACACTTATTGCCGAAATGCGCATTCTTTCTCATATATAGCTCTGATACCTTGTTCCGATTTGCTTTACTTTCGGTATTTTTGGTTTTGGTATCAGCTCTTCATTATTTGTTATAGGTTTTTTATTTTCAAATATTCATTACCTTTCATTTGGATTAAATACTTCAGTCATGCTCAAATTTAATAAGCACTTAGTTTCATTGGCAAATATATCTATTGTCTGGCGGTTTGTCTACAAAAGACTCATCAGTGACGCTAGAATTAACTTATTAACTTACTTACAAATACAGCTAAGGTAATCTATTTCTGGGGACGAAAATCCTGATTATTTCGAAAAATTCAAAGTTTTGTAAACAACTATTTCATAATTATGACCACATCAATGCTAATTCATGTCAACGCAGAAGTGCTGAATACTGGGCTGGTGATACAAGTGAACCAATGGTCATATTAATTTTATTTTTTGTGTTGTGTAAAAGTTATCATTTTGTACAAATTATAATTTGTACAAAAAGTTGTACAAATTATAATTTGTACAAAAAAATTGTACAAATTATAATTTGTATTTTGACTTTGTACAAATTGTAATTTGTACAAAAAGTGCTTGTAGAAATTACAATTTGTACAAAATTTGACTAAAATTCACTTATAACTTGTACAATAATTTATAGTACTGATTTTGTTATAAAAAAGCATTGATACACGTTATAGAATTTATATTCAATGACCATACAATAAACCTTATTTACAAAATACAAAAATAACCCGATGTAGATAAGAAATGTAATTGAAACATGCATGCCAGTTAATTCTGATAGTACAATAGAAATTGGCCCAAGTGACAATTTTGATAGAATATTAAAATTGGCCCCAGTGACAATTCTGATAGTATAATAGAAATTGACCCCAGTGACAATTCTGATAGTATAATAGAAAATTGGCCCCAGTGACAATTCTGATAGTATAATAGAAATTGGCCACAGTGACAATTCTGATAATCATACGTGCAAGGAAGCGTGCACTGTCTGGCCAACAGATCCCGGTGCATTAGATTTGCGTGCATTACCATTACATCTTTACTGATTTTACTTGTAAAATGAATGCACGCAAATGTAACCAAAAGCTCGGCGCAAACGTAAAATTTTTTAACCCCCAAATGCGCACTAATGTAATGCGCCCACAGATCCAAGCCGAATATCTAACCAAGAAAATGAAACGGAAATTATCAGAACTTACTGTGGGGGATCATGAATGTCATTATACCAATTCCTAAGTATGATCGTGCCCCAACTGATCCTCGAAATATCTTAGGTGTAATTATTTAATCTGGAGAATTTGGGTACCGCATTGGAACAGCTGTAGGAATTTTAACAGGATATTTGTCGAGAAATCAAGTTTAAGCTGTTAAAAGACACATCTTTATTTGCAGCAACGATTTCTGAGCTTCAATTTTCGCTACGTGAAGCAGTTAAAAAGCTTTCAAAAAATGGTGGTCAGGGGTTTCTTTCATGGAAATGCAAAGGGGGTGAAGCACTTCTAAATGTAAATGTAAAAAATAAAAGATGTTGTGCAATCCCCGATGCCATTATTTACTCGCATGCTCAAACAAATGATACAGAACTATTTTTGTATTTTGTAAATAAGGTTTATTGTGGGGTCATTGAATAAAAATTCTACAGTGATGTATAAATGCTTTTTTATAACAAAATCCATACTATAAATTATTGTACAAGTTATAAGTGAATTTTAGTCAAATTTTGTACAATTTGTAATTTGTACAAGCACTTTTTGTACAAATTACAATTTGTACAAAGTCGAAATACAAATTATAATTTGTACAATTTTTTTGTACAAATTATAATTTGAACAAAACGATAACTTGTACACAACATATATATATATTATATTAATCTAAATGGTTATGGTTTCACATACTTATTTATTAAACTGAGTGGAATTCGACATGTATGTAAAATGTTTGATACACATCTGAATTTCGAAATCTTCATTTATACATTTTTGATAGTTCAACGTGTAGCAGTTTGTAAGGACTTAGTGCAATGAAATAGTGTCCATACTGTGATGATAATATATTTTTATCTATTTACTTTTTATTACTATGAATTTATATATGAGTGTGTAACAGGAATGATATTATTTTCTAGTCAAAACTGAACATTTTCTAACAAATGTTTTTTTTTTATTAATACTCGTTTTTTATACAAATAAGAAGGCATCTATGATGCATTTAAAATGTGTTTTTCGGACTTCAACTTTTTGATGTATGTTCATCCCATTAGATGTTGGAATTGTATTTCTTGTGATAGATCTTACCTCACTAAGGCAGGTTCCGAATCTCCATATATACTTTTTCATTGGTTTTAAACCATTTTTATACACAAAACGATATATAACCGGTTTCGTATTTTAACATGAAAATTGAATACTTGTTTAATATGTACTATTGTTCTCGTCGAATCTTCTCAGATGCAGTTAACACATTGAAGATTAGAAAATAAATCACAAATAGAGTACATGTTGCATTTTCTATTCTAATTTTTGCGTAATTGTCAGACTATGTGTGTTCATCATGTACAATTACTATTCTTATACATTTTTGTCTCTAATTTTGATCAAAGATAAACACATTACAAGCTTGGCATTTAAATTTTGGATTGAAAATAAAAATGTCAAGGAAATATAAATATCAAAATATTTGAAAAAAAAGTCCATGACAACATTACGTTCAAAAACTATAAAGTCCCCTTAACATAATTTTGTGCTATTCAGTGTATTACTTAGAGTGATTCCGTTGACATTTTTTTTAAATACAACACGATAAAGAAATTAATCGCAATCAACATAATTATACTATAGCATATTTTAACTATAAAAATATCACGTGCATATTAATATAGTCTCTCGTTATTCTATTCATAGAGGTTTTTGTAAAGTTGTTCTGACTGTTATAAATTATATTTGCCATCCACTGCAAATTCCATATAACATGCATTTTTATACCACTGCATATGTAACCATGTTATTCCATTCATCTCTGTTATTGTTGTTATTACTTTTTATATTCCCATACCCATGATGGGGTCTTGAGAAATTAAAGTTTCAAGTTTCAAGTTTTAAACTTGTATTTTAACTTATAAAATTGCAGTTTTATACAATGTATATATATTATGGTGATTGTATTATATGCATTATAAGTGGTGTGGCTATGATAAAGTATTGAATCTGAATCTGTGTAAGCATCTTGAAATTTATAATTA